TCAAGCAGCCACACAGCAGGACTGATAGACGCTAAGGACCGGATGCACAGAAACAGGAACCTCTTATAAGCAGATGGTGGTCATTATAAACGTCTGTCCAGCATTTTTCTTTTTTTTATTGGAGTTCCCCTTTAAGCCCGATACGAAGACCGCGCCTATAATTAGCCGCTTGCATTAGCAGCTGTCTCTGCGATTTTTCAGGCGCCCCTACCAAGCTGGCCGGCCTTGCCCTGCCCCAGGTGCCCCTACCAAGCTGCCGGCCTTGCCCTGCCTCAGACACCCCTACCAAGCTGACCGGCTTTGCCTGCCTCAGACACCCCTACCAAGCTGGCCGGCCTTGCCCTGCCTCAGACACCCCTACCAAGCTGGCCGGCCTTGCCCTGCCTCAGACACCCCTACCAAGCTGGCCGGCCTTGCCCTGCCCCAGGTGCCCCTACCAAGCTGGCCGGCCTTGCCCTGCCCCAGGCGCCCCTACCAAGCTGACCGGCTTTGCCCTGCTCCAGGTGCCCCTACCAAGCTGGCCGGCCTTGCCCTGCCCCAGGCGCCTGCGCAAAAATCCGGTCGACTTTCTTTATTTCCTCTTTCCTTGCGATTGCTCTCAAGGCGAGGCCTCCGCATCCTAACAAATGAGGGAGAACGCCGAGAAAAATGGCCACCGGGTCAGAGAAGAGCTGGAGTGGTCGATAAAGATCAGAAAGGAGGGAAATTTCCCTTTTGAGGCTGTTAAAAGGCGCGCGAACCTAGACGGGGCAACTGCATCGATCGAGCGGTCACATTAAAGAACAACTAAACCGCCTATCGAGCGAAGACGCACCTCTAAGACCTCTCCGGGGCGCCGTTTCATAAATATATAAATACGCGCGGAGAGGAGATCAATGGCTGTCATAACGTGTTTGTGTTCAAACCCGACTTCGGCTAAAACTTTTTACTCTCTACAGAGCAGGGGGAGTGAAACAATTAGGTCTGTGTCCCCAAGGAAGAGATTTACCTTCACTTCCTGTTGGGGTGTCACAAGGACAGGAAGTGACTGATATCTCAGAAACGGTGACTGTTTCGTAGAGCAGGGAAGGATTTGAACATCTGGCTGGGTTTATTGCTCTCTTTGCCTTTTTCAGTGACACCTGAACCCTTTTCTGTCCACGTGTCAGTACTAAGGAGATTTACCTTCACTTCCTGTTGGGGTGTCACAAGGACAGGAAGTGACTGATATCTCTGGATGGGCAGCTGTTTTGGTGGAGGAGGGAAGGGTTTGAACATCTGGTAGTGTTTATTGCTGTCTTTACCTTTTTCAGTGACACGTGGATCCTTTTATTTCTTGTCCAGGTGTCAGCGTTGGGGAGATTTACCTTCACTTCCTGTTGGGGTGTGTCACAAGGACAGGAAGGGAGTGATATCTCAGAATTGGCAGTTGTTTAGTAGATCACGGAAGAGTTTGAACATCTGGCAGTGTTTATTGCTCTTTTTGCCTTTTTTTAGTGACACCTGAACCCTTTTATTTTTCGTTCAGTGCTGGGGAGATTCACCTTCACTTCCTGTTAGGGTGTCCCAAGGACAGGAAGTGACTGATATCTCAGAATTGGCAATTATTTAGTAGAGTAGAGAAGGGTTTGAACATCTGGTAGTGTTTATTGCTGTCTTTACCTTTTTCAGTGACACGTGGAGCCTTTTATTTCTTGTCCAGGTGTCAGCGTTGGGGAGATTTACCTTCACTTCCTGTTGGGGTGTCACAAGGACAGGAAGGGAGTGATATCTCAGAATTGGCAGTTGTTTAGTAGATCACGGAAGAGTTTGAACATCTGGCAGTGTTTATTGCTCTTTTTGCCTTTTTTTTTTTTAGTGACACCTGAACCCTTTTATTTTTTCGTTCAGTGCTGGGGAGATTCACCTTCACTTCCTGTTAGGGGTGTCCCAAGGACAGGAAGTGACTGATATCTCTGGATGGGCAGCTGTTTGGTGGAGGAGGGAAGGGTTTGAACATCTGGTAGTGTTTATTGCTGTCTTTACCTTTTTCAGTGACACGTGGAGCCTTTTATTTCTTGTCCAGGTGTCAGCGTTGGGGAGATTTACCTTCACTTCCTGTTGGGGTGTCACAAGGACAGGAAGTGAGTGATGTCTCAGAATTGGCAGTTGTTTAGTAGATCAGGGAAGAGTTTGAACATCTGGCAGTGTTTATTGCTCTTCTTGCCTTTTTTAGTGACACCTGAACCCTTTTCTTTCTCCTTCAGTGCTGGGGAGATTTAACTTCACTTCCTGTTAGGGTGTCACAAGAAAAGGAAGTGACTGATATCTCTGGATGGGCAGCCTTTGGTAGAGGAGGGAAGGGTTTGAACATATGACAGTTTTATTTCTCTCTTTTTTTTTTGAGGACACAAAGACCCTTTTATTTCTTGTCCAGCACAGGGGAGATTTACCTTCACTTCCTGTTGGGATGTCACAAGCACAGGAAGTGACTGTATATCGCAAGAATGGCACAGGGAAGGGTTTGAACATCTGATAGAGTTTTATTGCTCTATTTTCCCATCTCTGTGACACCTAAACTCTTTTATTGCTTGTCCAGTACTGGGAAGATTTACCTTCACTTCCTGTTAGGGTATCACATGAACAGGAAGTGTCTGTATATTGCAGAAATGGAAATGTTCAGCAGTGTAGGGAGGGGATTGAACATGTGGTAGGTTTTATTGCTATTTCTGCCTATTCCGGTGACACATGAACACTTTCATCTTTTGTCCAGGTGCTAGGGAGATTTACCTTCACTTCCTGTTGGGGGTGTCACAAGAACAGGAAGTGAGTGATAGCTCCGGAAACGGTAACTGTTTAGTAGAGCAGGGAAGGGTTTGAACATCTGGTGTGGTATATTGCTCTCTTTGCCTTTTTCAATGTCAGTGCTGGGGAGATTTACCTTCACTTCCTGTTGGGGTGTCACAAGAACAGGAAGTGATTGATATCTCAGGACAGGCAGCTGTTTGGTGGAGCAGGGAAAGGATTGAACATCTGGCAGGGTTTTATTGCTCTCTTTGCCTTTTTCGGTGACACCTGAACCCTTTTATTTCCTGTCCACGTGTCAGCACTGGGGAGATTTACCTTCACTTCCTGTTAGGATGTCACAAGAACAGGAAGTGATTGATATCTCAGAATTGGCAATTATTTAGTAGAGTAGAGAAGGGTTTGAACCTCTGGCAGGGCTTATTGCTTCCTTTGCCTTTTTCGGTGACACGTGGAGCCATTTATTTCTTGTGCAGGTGTCAGCGTTGGGGAGATTTACCTTCACTTCCTGTTGGGGTGTCACAAGAACAGGAAGTGACTGATATCTCAGAATTGGCAGTTGTTTAGTAGATCAGGGAAGAGTTTGAACATCTGGCAGTGTTTATTGCTCTTTTTGCCTTTTTTTAGTGACACCTGAAACCTTTTATTTTCTGTCCACGTGTCAGCACTGGGGAGATTTACCTTCACTTCCTGTTAGGATGTCACAAGAACAGGAAGTGACTGATATCTCAGAATTGGCAATTATTTAGTAGAGTAGAGAATATTTTAAACATCTGGCAGTGTGTATTGCTCTCTTTGCCTTTTTCGGTGACATCTGAACCCTTGTATTTCCTGTCCACGTGTCAGCACTGGGGAGATTTACCTTCACTTCCTGTTGATGTGTCACAAGAACAGGAAGTGACTGATATCTCAGGACAGGCAGCTGTTTGGTAGAGCAGGGAAAATTTGAACATCTGGCAGAGTTTTATTGATCTCTTTGCCTTTTTACACACAGCCCTTTTATTTCCTGAATGGGGTCAACATTGGAGAGATTTACCTTCACTTCCTGTTGGGGTGTCACAGGACAGGAAGTGACTATATATCACAGAAACGGCAACTGTTTGGAAGTGAGTGATATCTCAGGACAGGCAGCTGTTTGGTGGTGCAGGGAAAGGATTGAACATCTGGCAAGGTTTGGCCTTTTTCAGTGTCAGCACTGGCGAGATTTACCTCTACTTCCTCTTGGGGTGTCACAAGGACAGGAAGTGAAGGGAAATCTCCCCACTCTCCCCACTGACAACATTTAAAATTGAATTGAATTCATTCATTTTGAGTTGCACCCAGGGGCGGACTGACCATTCGGGCAATCTGGCACTGCCCGGGGGCCTGGGGTCAGTAGGGGGCCCTATGAGATGCCCCTGGTACCTTTCATAGGCTTTTTTGGGTGTGGTTTGAGTGTGGGCGAGGACACAGGGCCCCATGATCCCCTATTGCCCGGGGGCCCCATGAGTTGTCAGTCCACCCCTGGTTGCACTCCTACGCATTAAGGCAAAGCACACGTGTTGCAAAAGGCTGCAAAGCACCACGCTGCCAAATCCAAGTTTTGGGACGCTTTGGAGCACAGGAAGCCCATTGATTTCAAAGGGCTGCCTTAAAGCAGCAATAATGGTGACGTAACGCGCAGAACGCAACGTGCAGATTTTAATGGCCCTCACTCTCTCGCCCCCCCCCATTATAAAAATGCGGGTTTTTTCCTCGTTTTTTTTTTTTCTTCTGGCGAGCCAGCCGCGTGCAGAGACAGAAATTTGCACACCTGAGGGGGAGTTTTTATAAGCAGTAAAGAAGCTCAGGCAGATGTTCCAGACGGAGACTAACGAGTCGGCGCGCGGCGTCTGAATGTAAGATAGCGAACGCGCCTGGCGTCCTCATAATTAGCCCATCTGCCGTAAGCTGCCTTGGAGCGGAGGTAACGGAAAGTAGGCCGGCGGTTGGATTAGGCGCGGTTGGCACCGCCAGTGTCAGATAAAACCGAACGTTGAAGATAGCTGAAGGTCTCCGTCCTGCTGCGCTACGTGCGGTGAAAAATAACGCGTTTTTCAAAACGGAAACGCCTTTTTCTGTCATGACATCGAGCCAAATGGAGATCTTGCCAACTCATCGGCATATGGGTGCCCCAGGAAATGCGCGCGGCGGAAGGTCACGCTGTCTCGAGGCAAGGTTGTGTATTATTGCCCGCATACACACTATATTGCCAAAAGTATTGGCCCCGCCCTCCCAATCATGTGATTCAGGTGTTTCAATCCCCTCCCAATCATGTGATTCAGGTGTTCCAATCCCCTCCATATCATGTGATTCAGGTGTTTCAATCCCCTCCCAATCATGTGATTCAGGTGTTCCAATCCCCTCCATATCATGTGATTCAGGTGCTCCAATCCCCTCCATACCATGTGACTCAGGTGCTCCAATCCCCTCCATATCATGTGATTCAGGTGTTCCAATCCCCTCCCAATCATGTGATTCAGGTGTTCCAATCCCCTCCCAATCATGTGATTCAGGTGTTCCAATCCCCTCCATATCATGTGATTCCGGTGTTCCAATCCCCTCCATATCGTGTGATTCAGGTGTTCCAATCCCCTCCCAATCGTGTGATTCAGGCGTTCCAATCCCCACCCAATCATGTGATTCAGGTGTTCCAATCCCCTCCATATCATGTGATTCCGGTGTTCCAATCCCCTCCATATCATGTGATTCAGGTGTTCCAATCCCCACCCAATCATGTGATTCAGGTGTTCCAATCCCCACCCAATCATGTGATTCAGGTGTTCCAATCCCCTCCATATCATGTGATTCGGTGTTCCAATCCCCTCCATATCATGTGATTCAGGTGTTCCAATCCCATCTCAATCATGTGATTCAGGTGTTCCAATCCCCTCCCAATCATGTGATTCAGGTGTTCCAATCCCCTCCCAATCATGTGATTTTCAGGTGTTCCAATCCCCACCCAATCACATGATTCAGGTGTTCCAATCCCCTCCATATCATGTGATTCCGGTGTTCCAATCCCCTCCATATCATGTGATTCCGGTGTTCCAATCCCCTCCCAATCATGGGATTCAGGTGTTCCAATCCCCTCCTAATCATGTGATTCAGGTGTTCCAATCCCCTCCCAATCATGTGATTCAGGTGTTCCAATCCCCTCCTAATCATGTGATTCAGGTGTTCCAATCCCCTCCATGGACACAGGTGTATACAATCCATCCCCTAGGCATGCAGACGGCTTCTACAAACATTGGTGAAAGAATGGGTCGCTCTCAGGAGCTCAGTGACTCCAAGCGTGGTCCCGTGATAGGTGGTCACTGGGCAATAATATAAAAAAAAATTAAAATGTCAAAACATTTTTTGAAAAAGTATAATTTTTGGTGATAAACTTTTTTTTTGTTACTAAAAAGAGAGCTGAATACATTTTCGCCAATATTTATGAAGAAAGATTATTTCTTTGCAAAATTTGAAAAAAAAACACTTTTTTTTTCAAAATCTTTGGACTTTTTCATTTATATAGCAAAATTTTTTTTAAAAAATCCCAATGGTGAATAAATACCACCAAAATAATGTTTTATTGGTCTCAAAAAAAATGCAACTAAAAAATACTGCTAGGGTGACGGTATGTTAAAGAAAAAAAACACAAATAACAATATAAAAAAAAAAAAATAAAAATGTTAAATTTGTTTTGAAAAATTATAATTTTTGGTTATAAACTAATTTGGGGTTGTTGTTTTTTTACTAAAAAGAGAGCTGAATACATTTTGGCCAAGATTTATGAAGAAAGATTAATTATTTGCAAAGTTTTTTTTTTTCAAAATGTTTGGACTTTTTAATTTTTTTTGCTTTCCTCTTGATCAGCTGTGGGTGTAGGATTATAACTTTTTTTTTTTCTTTTCTATAGTTGAACTGGATGGACTTTTGTCTTTTTTCAGCCAGACTAACTATGTAATTTTTATAGCAAAAAAATAAAAATCCCAGCGGTGAATAAATACCACCAAAATAAAGTTGTATCTGTCTCAAAAAAAAATGCTTAAAAAATCCATATGGGTACAGTGTTGCATGACCGCGCAATTGTCATTCAAAGTGTGACAGCGCTGAAAGCTGAAAATTGGCCTGGACAGGAAGTGGGGGAAAGTGTCCGGACTGGAAGGGGGGAAAGTGTCCGGACTGGAAGGGGGGGAAAGTGTCCGGACTGGAAGGGGGGGAAAGTGTCCGGACTGGAAGGGGGGAAAGTGTCCGGACTGGAAGGGGGGGGGGGAAAGTGTCCGGACTGGAAGGGGGGGAAAGTGTCCGGACTGGAAGGGGTGAAAGTGTCCGGACTGGAAGGGGGGGGAAATGTCCGGACTGGAAGGGGGTGAAAGTGTCCGGAAAGGAAGGGGGTGAAAAGTGTCCGGACTGGAAGGGGGGTGAAAGTTTCCGGACTGGAAGGGGGGGAAAGTGTCCGGACTGGAAGGGGGGGAAAGTGTCCGGACTAGAAGGGGGGGAAAGTGTCCGGACTGGAAGAGGGAGGAAGCGTCCGGACTGGAAGGGGGGTGAAAGCGTCTGGACTGGAAGGGGGTGAAAGCGTCCAGACTGGAAGGGGGGGGAAAGCGTCCGGACTGGAAGGGGGTGAAAGTGTCCGGACTGGAAGGGGGGGAAAGTGTCCGGACTGGAAGGGGAGGAAAGTGTCCGGACTGGAAGGGGGGGGGTGAAAGTGTCCGGACTGGAAGGGGGGAAAGTGTCCGGACAGGAAGGGGGTGAAAGTGTCCGGACTGGAAAGGGGGGAAAGTGTCCGGACTGGAAGGGGGTGAAAGTGTCCGGACAGGAAGGGGGTAAAAAATGTCCGGACTGGAAGGGGGGGAAAGTGTCCGGACTGGAAGGGGGTGAAAGTGTCCGGACTGGAAGGGGGGGAAAGTGTCCGGACTGGAAGGGGAGGAAAGTGTCCGGACTGGAAGGGGGGTGAAAGTGTCCGGACTGGAAGGGGGGAAAGTGTCCGGACAGGAAGGGGGTGAAAGTGTCCGGACTGGAAGGGGGGAAAGTGTCCGGACTGGAAGGGGGGTGAAAGTGTCCGGACAGGAGGGGGTAAAAATGTCCGGACTGGAAGGGGGGGAAAGTGTCTGGACTGGAAGGGGGTGAAAGTGTCCGGACTGGAAGGGGGTGAAAGTGTCCGGACTGGAAGGGGGGGGAAAGTGTCCAGACTGGAAGGGGGTGAAAGCGTCCGGACTGGAAGGGGGGTGAAAGTGTCCGGACTGGAAGGGGGTGAAAGTGTCCGGACTGGAAGGGGGGGAAGTGTCTGGACTGGAAGGGGGTGTGAAAGTGTCTGGACTGGAAGGGGGGGTGAAAGCGTCCGGACTGGAAGGGGGTGAAAGTGTCCGGACTGGAAGGGGGTGAAAGTGTCCGGACAGGAAGGGGGGGAAAGTGTCCGGACTGGAAGGGGGTGAAAGTGTCCGGACTGGAAGGGGGGGAAAGTGTCCGGACTGGAAGGGGGTGAAAGTGTCCGGACTGGAAGGGGTTAAAAACATATTTAGGAATTTTCAATTAAATAAATAAAGATATAATTGGCAGATTATTTTTCGTCTGTATTATCCATGATGTAACCAATCACAGATGTGGAGGGGGGGGGAGACTTTAACAGGAAACAATTAAATATGGGGGGGTGCCATTGCTGGCCTCCTTGTCAACATACTGATTACCTGGCTGTGATGCCGATCCTCCGGCTTTATGAGTCACAGGCCCTGTTTGCAGATTGTGGTCAATGACCCAAAGCATTCAAGCCAGAGGATGACCATGACAGCCAGGAAACCGGCATTTTTCCAGAAAGAGAGGTCATGCTTCCATCACCATGGGTTTCCTTTAAGACGCCGAGGCTATAAAGATGTCAGAGACGGGATGCGGCTACAAAACTGGCAGCTGGAACAAAGCGATTATCCTCTCTCTTTAGGGAGGTCGCTCAAGGTCACAGCGGTATCTCTGGCACTCCCGAGCAAATTAGCGCTCATTAACATAAGACGCCAGCTTCTCGGACCTTCCAAAGTCTCCGCATGTTGTTTAACCCGCACCTTGCGGTCTGTAGGCCAAGAACATTTCAATAATAATAGTAATAATAATAATAATAATAATAATAATAATAATAAAAAGAAAATAAATAATAACAACAATAATGTACTTTTTATACATATTTACATATAATAATATATTTGGATAAATAATATTTATTATTTTATGCATTTGTCTTATATATTTATATTAACATATAATAATTATTATATTTTTTTAATATAGTTATAGAAATAGATTGTAATTATTATATATTTGATTTAATTAAATATATAATAATAATAATAATAATAATAACAGCAACAACAATGATAAAATTTATATATTTGTTTTATATATTTTTGTTAATATATAATAATGATTATTTATTTAAATATGTAATACATTTTATGCATGTGTTTTACATATCTATATTAATATATAATGATCATAATTTTTAAAATATATTTTTAGTAATAGAAATAATTATATATTTGTTTTTAATTAAATATATTATTAATAATAATAATAATACATATGTATTTATTTGATATATTTATACTAATATAATAATAATAATTATGTTTTTATTTTAGATATTTAGTTTAATATTAAATATAATGCATGCATGTGTCTACATATTTATATTAATATATAATGATCATAATTCCCAACCATGGCACCTCCTGCATGGAGTTTGCATGTTCTCCCTGTGCTGGCGCGGGTTTCCTCCGGGTACTCCAGTTTTTCCTCCGCACTCCAAAGACATGCTGGTAGGTAATTGGCTCCTGTCTAAATTGTCCTTAGTATGTGTATGTATGAATGTGAGTTAGGGACCTTAGATTGTACGCCCCTTGAGGGTTAGGACCTTAGATTGATTTACGCCCCTTGAGGGTTAGGGACCTTAGATTGTACTCCCCTTGAGGGTTAGGGACTGATGTGAATGTACAATATATACAGTATGTAAAGCGCTGCGTAAATTGACAGCGCTATATAAGTACCTGAAATAAAAAAATAAATAAATAATTTTTTTTAATAAAATTTGTAGTATATATAGAAATAATATATATTTTTTGTTTTAATTAAAATTCAAAATATAAATAATAATAATAATTTATAAATAATGAATATGTATTTGTTTTATATATTTATTAAATATATAATAATAGTTATATCTTTTTTTTTTAGATATTTAGTTTAATATTTAATATAATTCATGCATGTGTTTTTTATATTTATATTATATAATAATTATAAATAATTTTTTAAAATATATTTTTAGTTAGAAATATAATTTATATTTTGTCTTTTTTAATTAAAAATATATAATAATAACAATAATTATGTCTTTATTTTAGATATTTAGTTTTAATATTTAATAAAATTCATTAATGTGTTTTACATATTTATATTAATATATAATGATCATAATTTTTTAAAATCTATTTGTAGTATAATATAAATATTTTTATTTTTATTTTTAATTAAAAATATAATAATAAATAATAATAATAATAATAATGAATATTGTAGTATTTTATATATTTATACTATATATATAATAATAATTATGCCTTTATTTTAAATATTTAGTTTAATTTAATAATAATAATGCATGTTTTTACATATTATTATATTAATATATAATGATCATAATTTTTTTTAATTTATTTGTAGTAAAAAATAATTATATATTTGTTTTTAATTTTAAAATATATAATATAAATAGTGAATATTAAAAATTTTTTTATTATATTTATTTAATATATAATAATAATAATTATAATTTATTTTAGATATTTAGTTTAATATTTAATATAAATGCAATGTGTTTTTTTTAATATTTAATAATATATATGATCATAATTTTTTTAATCTTTTGTAAAATTTAGAAATATATTATATATTTGTTTTTAATTTAAAATATAAATAAAAATAGTAATATTTTTTTTAATATATATTTATATTAATAATAATAAAATATAATTTATTTTAATTATTTTAAATATTTAATATAATGCATGCATGTGTTCATATTTATATTAATATATAATGATCATAATTTTTTTTTCTATTTGTATATATAGAAATAATTATATATTTGTTTTTAATTTAAAATATATAATAAAATAGTGAATATGTATTTGTTTTATATATTTATTTTATAATATATAATATTAATAATTATGCCTTTATTTTAGATATTTAGTTTTTAATATTTAATATAATTC